TAGGGGCGATTTTTGCCAGCGGCTGGCTGGCTGAACTCGCTCCCGCGTTCGCGGCCCGATTCTCGTTTTCTCCACCTCTTCCCTTCTTCTTGTCCCTTTTTTCCATCATTCCCTCGCCCCCTGCTTTTTCCTTCTCCTTGTTACCTTCTCCGTTGTCGTTTTCTCTCTCTTCTTTCTTTCTCTCGCCTAATATTTTCGCGTGGATATAAGCCTGCCTTTCTATTTTTGACATTTCCGGCCACTCCCATACAGGGTCCATCCCTATACACTTTTTCCCAAAATCGAATCGAATCCAGCTCGTGCATTCATTATCATGATTCAACACATTCGCTACTCGAAGCGGGATCAGTTCCGTTATCTCCTTCTCTATATCCCTTTTCGCCTCCGTCCTCCTTGCGTTTCCTCTTCTCTTTTCGACTGTCAGCCCTGTATCCGCGCTCTCTGCCTTTTCGATCGTTTCTTGTAGCTCCAGCCCTATGCCGTTTCCTTTGCGCAGCAGGCCTCTCGTCTTTTCCCTTAGTTCGTCATAGTCCAGTAGCATTATTTCTGTCCTACCTTGTTTGCCTATTCTTCTCTCCCTCACCTTCTCGATTGTTCTTATTGCATTACTGCAATACGCCACGAAGCTCCTCTCCTCTTCTCTTACTTCCGATTTCAGGTGGCTCCCCTTTGTTTCTATTTTCCACAGGTGTGCCTCGGCTCTCGAGCTTTCCTCTTGTATTGTTACTATCGTCGTGCCCGCCTTTTCCGAATGCTTCACCCATATTTTTTGCTTTTTCTCTGCTTTCCCTTTTTTTCCGTATCCCCCCTGCCTTTCCCGATCAACCATAATGCTCGCGTCGCCTCGGTGTCGCGGAGAGCCAGCCCCGGCGGGCGACTGCCTAAATTCCCGCTATTTTTTGAACCGCCCAAGCCCTAGCCTGGGCGAGCAAGCCCGCCCCGGGCAATAGGCCGAGGCGGGCAACCCTTGCCGGGGACACAGGCGGGGCGCGGGCGACTTGCAGAACGCAGACGCCTGAGCCCATCGCCGAAGACCCGCCAGAAAGGCGCAGTGGCGAAGCAATTGCGCCGCCAACCCTTTCAGCCGTTCTTGACCACGTCCCGAAATTTTCTAAGTTTGCGCCTAAATTTCAGAGCAACGGCCGACATAGGCAAAATCGCACGCAAATTGCCCAACTGGGCAAATTAGACAAAAAATAGACAGCAGCCGAAGCGGCCAAGGCCGCTGCTTAGACAGAAATTAGAGGCGGCAAAGACCGCGAATATAGACAGGAAAATAGACAAAAAAATAGACAGGAAAATAGACAAGAAATTAGACAAAAACTTAAACAAAAACTTAGACAGGAAATTAGACAAGAAATTACACAAAAACTTAGACAAGAAATTAGTGCCCCCACAAGAGCGCCGACTGTAGGAAAATTAGCGCGAAAATAAAGAGCCTGGCGCCGGGGGCGGCTCTGTGCGATCGGTGTGTATATTGGCTCGCCGTCCTCAGTTTCCCTACTGCGCTGCGCTGCTTTACTATTCCACACGCTCGCAAGTCGCTCCCAGGCGATAGCCTCACTTTTGCCCCGTCGCTAAGCGCCTGCAGGAGCGCGATGTCTGCTTCTTTTCTTTTCAGTATCTGGCGCTCATCTGTTTTGGATATACCCGCTTTCGATTGTCCCACTACCTTTACTGGTGTCGTCGCTAGAGGCGCAAACATACTTGGGTCCGTCAGGTAGTTGGCCTGCGCTGTTGCCCGCAACGTTTTCAGCCCCATCGTGTACGGATCCGCGAGCCCTAGCATGTTCATGCCAAAGATCACCCTGTAAAACGTCTCTGCTTCTGTTCCTGTTCTTTTCATTATTTCCTCCACGACCTCCATTGTCATCCCCATTGCTTCTGCTATTGTCAGCGCCATCTCTCCCATTAATTCTGCCCATTTTTTTATTTCGAAGAAGCGACGCATTGCTGGAAGATAGTAAATCATTGCCGAGACGAAAAACACCTGCACCACCCAAGTCAATTCCTCTCCGTTCAGCCCCCTTCTTCGCATCATCACCTGGCGCGCCAGGTGCTGGCCGATCCCTATACTTTGCCTCGCCTGCCCCTGCAGGACTTTCGCCTGCTCTTCTTTGTCTTGCGGCACTATTTTGATGCCCAGAATCTTTAGGAAGCTCTTCTCCTCGAATAGTATTCCGAAAGGCTGGAATGCTTGCCGGAGCAGGTTAACCAGTTTCGCGTCCCTTATGGATGTTGCTAACTCGCACTTCTGTGGCGCCAAAAACTGGCCTTCCGTTGCATAAGTCTCCTCGTATGCCCAGCTTGCTGCTTTTAATGCCCTCACTATAGGTTTTGTATCCTCTATGTAAAACTTCACCACTAGGGTGCCGCCATCGACATACTGAACACAAAGCGTCCACTTTTTATTGCTGACGCCCCGCAAGACTCCCGAGTAGTATCTTGTTTCTGTTTTTTTCTTCTCCCTGTCTTTACCCCCTTTCTCCTTGCCCGTTGTCGCCTTTTCTCCTCTCCTGTAACCCGTTTCCGCCGGCGAGGCTTCTTTGTGATAGATTTCGCCCACTTCTGTCCTGTAGTCGTAGTCCGGGAACGTCGTGTCGACATCCCCCCCTTTGTATAGTCGCTTTCCTCTTGTTCTCGTTTTCGCCTCTGCTGCCTGCAATCTGCTCTCGTTTACTCGTCCACTTTCATCAAAAATCTCCTCTAAAAATTCCGCAATAATTTCCACTCCCGGGAGGAAGATCAGGGTCCCCGCGAGCATCGTTTCTACGGCGCCCTGGATAAGCTCGCGACGTCTTATCACATGACCGGAGCGCTCGCCGTTTCTAATCCATAGGTCTTTTGTCCATGCTGTTACTATTATCAGTTTTATAAAGCACGGGTGTAGCTTCGCGGCCCTATAGGCTGCCACCGCTCGGGGGAGTCCTATGCTGTTGAAGTAATTTGATGCATCTAGCCCAAAAACTACTGTCGCTGTCTTTTCTTCTTTCTTTCCCTTCTCTTCTTTCTTCCCTTCTTCTCCTTTCTCTCGTGCTTCTCCCCCGTGACAGGTCTCCAGCACTTGCAGCGCTGTGGCTTGACAGCTTGCGCCTGGCTTCGAGGCTGAGCCGCATCGTGTGAGCGCGTCGCTTTTGTCTGCTACTCGTGCCATCTCATATACTACCGCGCTCATCAGCACCCCCATAATCGCTGTCCCTTGTATTACTGTCCTTATTTTTTCTATCGCGGTCGTTGCTGCTGTTTGCTTTTTTAGCAGCTCTACCTGCACCACATTCAGGCGCTCCTCTAGTAGTTTTGGCCCTTTCCCCATGTTTTGTCTCAGCTCATATTCCTCAACTTCCTGCAGGAATCTGCTGAATACTTCTGCTAGCACCTCATACTGCTCATCGGTGAGGGCTTTATACACTCCCTGTCTTAGCCCATCCATTCCAGAGGCCTCGGCGTTTAATCTTAAGCTTTTCTGTCATGCAAAAACGCAGTTTGTCATGCAGAATAGGCATCATATAGAAGCTCAGAGACTTGTCATGCTGAGCCAGCACTTGTGGCCTCCTCATGATACGCCACCCAGCATCACAAGTTTCCAGGAGACCCAGACATTTTTACAATCCATAACACGATTTTCCCCGTGCTCAACCGATGATCCACGAGGATCCCCGTGCACAAACTCGTCGTCGCTATCCAAGGCCACGCCTATGTCACCAGAGTCAGAGTTTCTCCTTTCCTGTCCTATTCCAGCAGCCGCACCGCCGTCGGCACCTACTACATCTGAGGAATCGTCCTCGTTGTCGTTGCTACCCCACAATAACATAGATGAATTTTTCTCGCACAGAAACTCTTCGTCACTGTCTGAGTCTGACAGAGAGGTGGTCCTTTGAGTCGTTCTTTTGGTGTTCTCCTCGCGTGTCTTGATTTTGCTCGAGTGACCAACCTGCGGCCCCGCGTCGAAGCCGTCGTCCAGGTCCTCTTCGTCGTTTTTTCGTCCGGCGGAGCTGGCGGGAGTAGGCCCATCAGCCTGGCAAAACTCATCGTCACTGTCCGAAAATGTTTGATCATTCTTACCTGGTTCCCGAAAAGATGCGCCTGCATTCTGCTGCTTGGTAGTGGTACCATTGTCGTTGTCCCCGGATAATACAGATGAGGATACGCCAGGATCCGAAGACAGTAACTCGTCATCACTATTCATGGCTCGTCATTCGAGCTACATCAACATCCCCCAGAAGAGTTTATGGTATTAATTTAGATAACATGTTAGTCGTATTGTCCATTTTGTCAGGAGGAACGATTTTTTTTCATCAAGGTTGAAAAGCTCCTTGTTGGTGTTATGCGGCGACAAGAACGATTTATTTTCATCCTGACCCCGGGAATAAATAATGACGAATACGATGCTGCAACTCCCATCTGTAAAACCATTTCTAGCAGCACGATGGAAGCTCAATCAAGGAGGAGCAGGAGGCACATCCGGAAATAGTGGCAACCATGTACTGGATCTGGAATGAAAATCAGAATCTCGTCGTGCATCACGGTCGTTATCGCTGTGAGAAAAATTGGACAGTCCATCTGTGTTGATGATCCTTTGTGCCGCAAAAAAGAAAAACAGTACTTAGCACAGTCATACCCAAACCAATCTCCGAATTATAATAAATAATATACCCGCAAACGCTGGTCCTGGTGTCTGCGCTTGCGGTTCGCTATATGCTGCTAGTATTTCTGGATCTCTTCGCAGTACTAGAGATCATGAAGATAGCACTTCCGGTAAACGCGTCATAATCATGAAGAACGGGGTTAGCAAATAGCTCTGTCATCTTTTCGAAGATAGTCCTCTTCCTGCTGCATTCGATAAATACCGAAGAGAAATTCACCACACACACCAGACCGCGACAGAATGGTCCCGCTGGGACTGCAACCAAGCTCTGGGCGGCTTGGTTGGTGAAGACCAAAGTCAAACTTTTCCTCACGAGAAGTAGGAGCAGGTGACGTTTTAATAGATCCATAATGTCAGCACAGCTAGCGGATCAAGAACAGGTTGGTCGCACGCGCGAGCATATCAAAGTCAAATACTAGCCTGTTCGTCTGTTTTCCCATAGTACTAAGGAGGTTCGAGTCTGTTATCTTCAATTCGTCGTCTTGTGTTAGTGTTATGCGAAATACTGCAAGACAGGAGGGTCTGTTGAAAATAGTTAAACTTGAAGTTGTAGAAGGGTAGAACTTAAAAAAATGATCAGAGGTTTACAAGTGTAAGTAGAAGTGCAAGCAATGCTCTGTAACGTCAGCACGCGGGCCTGTTTCTTCTACTTTCTTACAGTATTTTCGACAAGTACGAGGAGCGAGGAGAAGCCGAGGCAAATCCGATCTCTTTTTTCCTGGTGTGAAAACTTCTATCTCGTCCAACGGATAATCTCCTCGAAGTAGATGATTTTCATTTTTACTTCTTTTTCTTGCTGGTCACTTCCGCATACTTGGTTGCCGCCATCTGCTGAATGATACTGAAAAAAAAGAACCCGATCACCCCCGCGAGAAACAGATCCCACAGCATTTTCATCCAGGAGTCGCTATCCCCCTCCGGGTCCAACGACCCCAAGGCGAATTTCCCGTCGGTCCCCGAAATCGTCGCCCCAAGTTCCGCCTGGCTCAGTTTCCCGTCCTTGTTTGCGTCGAAAGAGGCCAGAATCCGCTCCACCACGCCCTCCGGCTTTTCGAAGCCCTTGTACAGCTTCAACAACATCGGTTTCGTCAGCAGCGCAGCGCCGCCGGTGGCTTCGGCGAAGGTGACGCGTGCTTGTTTTTCGAACTTGGAGATGATTTTCTGTCGCTGTTTATCCTGTGTAAAATCGTCCCCACCCAATAATTGTCATGCAAATCTGCATGCTCAAAATATTTCTCATGCGCAAACCTATGGTGCGGAGCACATTCTATTCGTGTTTTGAAATTTGTCATGCTGGAGTCTTCAGCGTCATAAGCTAGATCTGTAATGCTCAACATGAAATAGTACTAGTTAGAAAGGAGTATACTACGTACGAGGACAAGCTTGTCATGCGCAAAAGCAAAGCTGGTTGATTTGTCTAGCAGATTTCCCAACTTGACTTTGGGATGGGGACATAATTTTTATTCAGGATACTGTTTTGTCAGTAACGCCGCCACGTCCGTCTTCACCACCGAGTCCGGCAGAAGACCCTTCAAAGTTCCGAGAAGAGACTGGAGCAAGCGGGAGACGGGGACCAACACGATTTTGAAAAAGGTGCCGCCGAACAGCGCGATGAAAAAAAGCGCCTGGAGATTCACCTTGACCACGCCCTTGCCCAGTGCGGTTGCGAGGAAAAAGGTCCAGAATATCCTGTGCAAAAGTATCGTACTAGTAGTAATTCCATCACAAATTACCTCAGCATGACAAATGGAATTTGTCATGCTGATTCACCTTGGGAACGAACTTTGTAATGCATAAATGCAATTACTACGAGTACGATACTTTTGCAGTTCATACAGAACGGCATCTGCAGGTAGCCGCAGCACATGCCGCACATGTCGAAAGCCGCATTGGGCCACGAGGCGAGGAGGAAGACGCCGACTATCCTGTGTAAAAACGTCCCCACCCCAAAGTCAACAAGATGGCAAATCAGCTAGACAAATCAACAAGCTTTGGCTGTTGCGCATCACAGGTTCTTTGGCGTCGTAGTGTAATCCTGTTTGGCTAGTTCAGCAGCACCACAGATCTGGCACACCATGAAGATTGGAGCATGACAAATTCCGAAACCTGACTATAAAACGCTTCTCATGGGCCTCCGCACGAGAAAATATTTTAGCATGCAGATTTGCGTTACGAGTATGGGGTGGGGACGTTTTTACATAGGATACCGAGAAACCCGTATTTCTCCGTGAAATCGATGGTCATCATCTTCATCTTCGAAAACGCATCGGTCGCACCGCGGGATTCCTGGGTTTTTCCAGTTTTTGTGAAGCTGCTTTTCTGTGAAGATACAGAACTGCTTCTTGTCGGGATTGTCATTGTTCGGATCATGATCATGCTGCTACACAAGGTAAGTAGTGGTGTGGAACTGGAACTGGAATGAAGAGCCAAGGGGCATTGAAATGATCTTCAACCAAAAAATGACAGTTCCGTGGAAAAAAAACATACCTCCAACTCCCGTTCGAACTCTTCATCCCGTTTTCCCTTCGTCATGCTGGCCTGCCGGCTGATGAAGTAGGGAGGCAATTCCCCGACCGCGGTACCGAAACCCCAGGCCATGACCGGCACGACGACTCGCAGCCAGAGCTCGAACAAAGTCGCGGTTGACTCTTGCCCAGCCTTAAACGGCTTCCCGCACTCGAACTTACACGGGTGGAGATACATGGTCTGCATATCGGACAAGTCGCACGTCTCCGACGCAAAGACCACCTTCATGATGTGCGGAAACAGGAACATCAACCCACTGTGTAATCCGGTGCCAAACCCGACGGAGGAAAGGATGCCCAGGATCACCCACCACAGAATCTCCAGCGTGTACAGCTCCACCTGCCACAGAATCCCGCCGTCGAAAGCAGAGTCATCGGGTTGTCCTGCGGTGGTTGTGAAGGATTTTGTAGTGTTTGATTTTGTTCCCCCGACTGTCGCTGAAGCTCCCATCGCGGCGGCCCGCGAGCCGCACTTCCCGGGAGGGGTGTAGAGTTCGGGGAACAGGACAAATTTCGTCGCCAAATAGACGGTGAGAAGCGGGAGAAGAGCGAAGAGAAAGGCCTGGCTCTGCACAAATTCCACCGTGTAGTAGACCAAAGACTCGTAAAAAGACCAGCCGAAGTAGTATAAGGTCGTGAAAGGCGCGGTGGTGAGGGAGATTGTGTCTTCTTCAGTTGTTCCACTAGTACCGGCAGATTTCATTTTTGTCGAAGATGATTTTCCGCTGCTTTTCCCGCCTTTGCTCGAGCTTTTGCTTCGCCCCCGGGACGAGCTCGACTTGCTCTTCTTCATGGAATATCAAATGCAAATATGTCTGGGTCTGGAAACAAATTTGCGATGCTAAAATGTGATTGGTGGGCGCACTGCAATAACAATATGTAGCCCAGCATGACAAATTTTTGAGCTGCTGTCGTGTTTCGTTTTCCGCATGGCAAACTGCGTTTCTGCTTGACAGACAAGAGGCCCTTTTCCTGCTCCTGCATCACAGATTTATGAGTCATGCCAGACAAGCATGGCAAACTTGCATCCTTCCAGAGAAAGACATATTTGCATTGGATATGGAAGTGCCGCTTTTGCTGCGCGACTTCGACGAGGACTTTGCGCCGCCGCCGCGGCTATCAAATGTAAAAATGTCTGGGTCTGGAAGAGTCATGCTGTTTTTGCATGACACAGAAGGTCTGGCATGGAAGCTCTAGCATCACAGGTTTCGAGAACCTTCCGCAATGCCGAATCCGCATGACACGTCCCCTATTTTGCTGGCAAAAAGTGGGAGCTTTTGCTACGTATGCATGAGAGACTTTTCTGTGTTCTGAAATACGCATTACAAGTTGCATTCTTCCAGACCCAGACATTTTTACATTTGGTAGCGGCCTCGCGACTTCTCGCGTGGCGCCATCGTGATTACCATCAACGAGGTATTGTGGTGCAGCTGGATACAACTGCAGAGGAATTCTGTTCGCTGCAAAGGTCCTTTATTCAACTACTGGAATTGCTGTCTAGAACTAAAAAACTAGAACCTCATGGCGTTCCTTGCAGTCAATGTCAAAAATTGCGTAAACTTAACTCGTTTCGGTACGGGTTGTTAATTTGCTTCGAATTCTAACAACCAAACAAGAAGCACAGTCTAGACGAAAACAGCGTTTAGTTGTTGATAGACCCTCTTTGTCGCTGTAAGTGTTGTAACCGAAATCAATTCAATACCATTTGAGCTTCGGAAAAGTGTTTCAGAAAATGAAAATGCCATAGAGAGAAGCTCAGGAGAGAAAATTAGTCACTGAAGACCTAGGAATGGGTGATCTCTTGCAGCGCTGCCGGACAGACATCTTCGAAAGGGCACGGAGTCGTGCTTTTAGAAAATAAGTTCTGGTGTCGCCTTTAAAATGTGTATGAACACCACAAGAACTGCCGTAGATACATAAAGTCCATTTCAACAGCAAAGAACCTAAATGTGGGAAAAGCCACGCGGCCCCTGAGACTAGTATGCCCTTCTTTTGGTATCCTGTTGTATCTCTTTACACCGACGAGAAATAAGTACTTGAAGATAAGCTGCAAAACTTTTTTTCGTGATCCTGTGGAGATTGCTTCCACCGAAAAATAAACACAGGCCACGCAAAAAGGTGAAACTGAGTCGGAGATTCCTTGTGCTACGACGATGGCTACGATCCTGAGGCCACGAAAAAATAAAAATATCATCTTCTGAAAAGCTGCGAAATAAAGATCAGCGTATGTACATGTAGGTTGTAAATTCTATTGTCGTTGGCTTTAGTTTGAATTGTTTTTCAGCGTAGCTCAATACTGCTTGCTCCTAAAGCAGTAGAAAATAAGACGGTAGTATTGATAAAATTGGATTCATGATGAATTTGGAATTAAATTTCATTGTATTTTGGTTATAATGTACGAAAATAGGGTCGGTTTGTTGTTTTTTCATTCGCAAAAAATAGATAGGGGCAAAAAAAGAAAAAGCGTTGAGCTTTGAGAAATCAAAAAATGTGAAAAGTGCTGTGTCGCTGGCATTAAAGATCCAAGTACTTCCAGCGCTTGCGCTTTTTATCGCAAAATTTAACATACCAGTCCTGTCTCACCCGAGACACTTGTCGGCCACCCCTTTTTCGACCCAGCAGTGGGAGCTGCAGGTTTTCTTCTGCAGAGTCCAGTTGTTGGATTTCGATTCCTATGAACTGCAAAACAAGTATCGCACTCGTATAAAGGCATTACAAATTTCCTCAGCATGAGAAATAAAAATTTGTAATGGGGATTCACCTTGAGAAAAAGATTTGTAATGCATGACTGCTATACGAGTATGATACTTTTGCACAGGATAATTCCTGTTCACTGTCGTCTTCATACAACAGCTTCACGCGTTTGTAGTACCTCCTCCGGGAGTATCAAATGCAAAAGCGTCTTGGTCTGGAAGAATGCAAACTTGTGATGCTGCTTTTGGATTCCAAAAAAATCTGTATTGCATGAGTAGCAAAGGGAATGCAATTTTTGCTACGCGGATCGGGCATTTGTCATGCGAAATAGGCATCAAGAACTCCTCGAAAAATCTGTGATGCTACGGCATGCATCACAGGCATCATGGCTCATGCAAAACGTACATGACAGGTCTCAGAATCTCCCAGACCACTCAGACATTTTTGCATTTGATAGCGAGCTTCCCCGCGCAAAATCCGGGCTCACGTCCTCCCGGGTTGGCAAATCCCGGTATTGCAGCTTCTTTTTTTGCTGCGCTTCGTTTTGGAGTAATTTGACGCGGTAATTTTGCTTTATCCTATGTAAAAACGCCCCCGCCCCATAGCTGCTGTCATGCAAACCTGCATGATAAGTGCCAGCCATGCTCCGGCTAACGCCGGAGCGCAAGGCTGTTGGGCCGGGGCAAGACTGTTTGCCGATTGGACCACAACACCACGGGCCTGCGCATAGCGAAACGTACTGGATTCCTGCCGCCTGTTTGCGTTGCGCCAACCCGCAGGACCGCTTGCGCGCTTCCCGCGCCTGTGGGCGCTCTGCGCAGCGAGCAGCTGCAAAGAACACCGGGGGCGAACAGAAGCCGCCCGGCGCGAGAGGGTAGAGCGAGTGGGTGGCGCGAGAGGGTAGCGCGAGAGGGTTGCGCGAGAGGGTGCGCGAGAGGGTGGCACGGAAAGGCGCCGGGCAAAACAGGTCCGCGAATGGCCTGCAATGCGAAATATGGGCAGCACCATGCGGATTCGCGCCCAATTCTTTCTGTTTTTACCCTCTCGCAGACCTCTCGCAGACCCTCTTTTTGACCTCTTTTGGGGGTCCCCGCTAATAATCCGGCTATACTCGCGGGTAGAGGGCGACAGAGGTGGCCGAGAGGTGGCCAAGAGGGTCCGCGAGAGGGGTCCCCTTATTCGCGCAACCTCTCGGCACCTCTGTCCACCTCTCGCTTGCCCTCTTTTTTACCTCTCTGCACCCTCCGAGGCCCTTAGCGGCCCCAAAGGGCGACCCCTTCGGCGGGCTATACTCGCGCCACCCCTCGGCCACCCTCCCGAATGACCTCCCGCGCCACCTCTCCACCTCTGTCGACCTCTTTTTCACCTCTTTTGACCTCTTTTCCACCTCCCCGCCACCTCTCGTCTACCCTCTCCAAACCCATATTTTCGCATGAATATAATAGATAGTAATGTTTCTCATGCAAAGCCCCATGAGAAGCGTTTTCTCGTCGCGTTTTGAAATTTGTGATGCTCGAATCAGCATGATATTCTAGATCTGTGATGCTGCTGGAGCTAGCTAAACAGAATTTCACTACGGAGCCAAACTTGTCATGCGCAGCAACCATATCTGCTTGATTTGTATAGCAGATTTTCCATCTTGACTATGGCTGGGATGGGGACGGTGTTTACATAGGATATGCTTCTGCTGCTTGCTTACCGGGTCGGTGGTCTTCGTCGGGAGCTCTTCCACGATGACTATTGGGTGAAAATTAATGCTCCCCATCCATTTTCTGCATGACAGACACAGAGTTTCCTATATGCTTTGCATGACAAATCGGATGGGGATGGCACATTTTTAGGGGATAAGGACCGTCGCGACGCTCCACCAGCGGACATCCGAATATTGAGGGTCGTCGCAGGAGTCGCGGTCAAGTTTGCAATGAATCAACACCGTGTCGCCAAACCAAAACTTCACCTGGTCATTTTTATAGGGGAAAAATATCGTACGAAAGAAAATTGCTCTTGTTTTTCCGAAGCGAGTTCTTCTCATGCTTAATCTTGCAGCTTCAGAGTTTGGCTTTGATGTTCTCATGGTACTGATACTGTAACTGTTGGAATTATATAGAAGAACCCATAACTACCGTCGGCGTCGCATCCCGCAAGTACATATCTTCCGTAAAAGCGTGCACGCCGAATTTATACAGCCCCGGAGGCTATGAACTGCAAAAGTATCGCACTCGTATAAATGCTAATGCATTACAAATTTCCTCAGCATGAGAAATAAAATTTGTGATGCGGATTTAACTTAATGTAATGCATGACTGCAATACGAGTACGATACTTTTGCACAGGATAGAGGCACATTGGTCATCGTGATCGTCTCCGGGCCGAAGCCGTCGCGGTGGTCCACTTCTAACTCCAAGCGACTGTTTATGAGAGTGCACAACAACTCCCCATCCCCCTCGTTTGTATTGCATGAACAGCAATAGAAACCGAGCACACGTAGAGCATGTGCATGACAAATAATTCATGCGCGTCGTGTAGTACTGTTTGGGTTTCCAGAATGTGTCATGCAAACAGTGCCACCGGGAAGCGCTTGGATTCGGGGTTTTGCATGACAAGTGAGGGAGAGGGCAAGCTGTGCACTCTCTTACTGTTCCCCTTGGCCTTCCACATGGACATGGATTTCAAGAATTTTTCGTAAGTTTTCTTGTTCAATTGACCCTTCTCTACCAACAAACGCTTCTTCTCCTGCTCAACCTGCAGACTTTTCTGCAGCCGAGTGGTGAAAAACTTTTCAGTATCTGCGGACGAAGAAGACTGTACTACTGCAGGTAGTTTATGAAATGCAAAAAGTGTCTGGGTCTGGAAACTTGTGATGCTAAAATGTGCATGATGAAAACACTTTCGAATGCAGTCCGGCATGACAACTTCCCAAAACGCTTTCTCATAGGCAATCCGCATGAGAGACTGCGTTTTTGCCTGACAAAAGAGGCTGCGACTTTTGTTGGTTATGCAATACAGATTTTCTAGGTATGGAAAGCTAGCATTACAAGTTCCAACCTTCCAGACCCAGACATTTTTACAATGCATATAGTTTTGCGGCCCCACCGCCGCTCAATTTCCGGTCGTACGTGGTCTCCAGATGCATTAAGATATGCACTGCAAAAGTATCGTACTAGTATGAACCAGCCATGCTCCGGCTGCCGCCGGAGCGCAAGGCTGTTGGACCGGGGCAAGACAGTTTGCCGATCGGACCACAACGCCACGGGCCTGTGCGCAACGAAGCATACTGGAGTTTGCGCCGCGCCAACCCGCAGGACTACTTGCGCGCCTCCCGCGCCTGTGGGCGCTCTGCGCAGGGAGCAACTGCAAAGAACACCGGGGGCGAACAGAAGCCGCCCGCCGCGAGAGGGTGGCGCGGGAGGGTGGCGCGAGAGGGTCGCGCGAGAGGGTGGCGCGAGAGGGTGCGCGAGAGGGTGATGCGAGAGGGTGGCGCGAGAGGGTGCGCGAGAGGGTGACGCGAGAGGGTGGCGCGAGAGGGTGCGCGAGAGGGTGGTGGGGACAGGCGCCGGACAAAACAAGTCCGCGAAGAGCCTGCGACGCTAAATATGGGGACTCCCATGCGGATTCGCGCCCGCTACTTTGTGTCTTTACCCTCTCGCAGACCTCTCGCAGACCCTCTTTTTTACCTCTTTTGGGGGTCCCCGCTAATAGTCCGGCTATACTCGAGGGTAGAGGTCGACAGAGGTGGCCCAGAGGTGGCCGAGAGGGTGCGCGAGAGGTTGGCCCTTATTCGCGCCACCTCTCTCGACCTCTGTCGACCTCTCGCGCCCCCTCTTTGTGACCTCTCTGCACCCTCTGAGGCACTTAGGCGCCGCCTTAAGGTGGGTCCTTCGGCGGGCTATACTCGCGCACCCTCTCGCCGACCCTCTCGAAAGGGGTCCCGCGCCACCTCTCCACCTCTGTCGACCTCTTTTTTACCTCTTTTGACCTCTTTTTGACCTCTCGGCCACCTCTTGTTTACCCTCTGTCTACCTCTTTTTTCGCATGAATATAATATATAGTAATTGCATTACAAATCGACTTAGCATTACAAATGAAATTTGTAATGCTGTTTTACCTTGGAAAAGAGATTTGTCATGCATAACAGCAATTGCTACGAGTACGATACTTTTGCAGAGCATATAAGAGCGGGCTGATCCATATCCCACGAAAAAACTGCTTCACTGTGATGATCTTGCAAGATCGGCATCACAAGTTACACATGACACCAAATATTTGGCATGCGCGCTTGCCAAGTGAAAACACACTAAAAAATCCAATGTCTTGCAGGTGTAGCAAGACAGCTCGTTCTGTGCCCCATTCTCTGCATCACAAGTTCACAGCGAAACAGTTTTTTCTTGCGATAATCCAGGAGACCCACTTTGACCGCTGGTTGATCGTGGGCACGCAGTTTTTCTTGTCAAACATGGCCACTTTCTTGTTGCTCGACCGCAACTCCTGCAGTTTAGAAGCACAGGACACGATCGGGCAAACGTCGTAGCCGGCTTCGCGGATATCTAAAGTCGCGTAGTGCTTGAATTTCTCGAATTTCTTGTCCGCGAAGAAGGTCATGGGGTTGCCAAAAGCCGCCCGGTGCTTCCGCGCGGCGAGGTCCTGCTTTTTCATCACGGTGTTCTGCGAAGATGTTGTTCCTGCCCCACCTGCTCCCGGGGCCCCGGGACTACTATCGCTCTCCGACCCAGAGGAGACGCCGCCTTCGTCGTCTCCTGCAGTAGCAGCTCCGCCTGCAGCTGCACCAGAGTTGATGCCACCACTGCTCCCTTATCAAATGCAAAAATGTCTGGGTCTGGAAGAGTGCCAGACTTGTCATGCAGGTTTTTCATGACCCATGAGGCCTGGTATGTAGGAAATAGCATGACAGATTCTGTGAGAGTTCTATCATGCCTATCCTGCATGAGAAACTGCCTCTCGATTAGGTCAAAAGTGGACAGCTTTTGGAAATCATGCAACACAGATTTTTAATACATGATCCAGATTTAGCATGACAAGTTGCATTCTTCCAGACCCAGACATTTTTGCATTTGATATCCCTTTCGCGAACGGGAGGTAAAAAGACGGCAATTTTTCCACGTCTGGGTACTTTTTGTATGGAAGGCAAGAAGTTTGTCACAGTCACTAACTTGCAGGCTTTGCATGAGAAACTTTTCCAGCATCACAGGTTTTTCTTGTATTGCAGAAACACTCAAAGGAAACCCCTTCTGAAGTTTGGCCGTGATGCATTTTGACGCATGACAGAAAGTTTTGTATTGCAAAACTGCGCATGAGTGATCGTGACGAACTTTTTTTGTTTGATATTTTGTACCATTTTTTCAGCTCGTCAAACTCATCCGTGGCGAATTCCCGGGGATTATCCTGACAATAAGCGTCCCCAACATCCCATGCTTGTCATGCAAATCTGCGTGCCCAAATTGTCTCTCATGCGCACCTCAATATACAACGGGCATTTCCAACACTATCAGGAAATTTGTCATGCTCGAATCAGCATAAAAAAATTGACTTGCAATGCGACAGACTGCACCAGCTACTCCACCAGCTGCGCGCGACTACACTTGTCATGCGCAACAGCAAAACCTTCTTGACTTGTGTAGCAGATCTGCCATTTTGACCACGGGGAGGTGGGGACGGTTTTACACAGGATAAGGATGCCCCGTCCCCGTGGCCCGGCTGTACACCGGCTTTCCCGATTTCCCAACGACTAAACCCATTTGGTACGAAATCGCGTAACTTGGCGTGGGGTTGACCGACCAGATCCACAGGTCTGTCGTTTTCCCCGCGGTACCTGAGTCCGCCTCAATCGCATCGTCAGTGATCCGCGGGTAGTTGATGTGGACCTGCCCGTCACCGTTGCTCTGCCCGCCCTTCGAGGTCGATTTTGTTTCCCCGAAGGAGAGGAACTCGTGGGAATCCGCAATCGCGGTTTCTAGATCGTACACCTGGTCGATGCACTCCATGTAGGTCGCGTACAGATCCAAATCTTTCGGGTACTGGTCCCACCAGAGCACCGCGCGGAAGGAGGAAATTTCCCCGGCGAACGTGCAGTCTTCGTTGACGTCTCCGTGGTCCATAACCCGGTCCAGAAGGAACAACAGCATTTTCCGGTTTGGATTCGCCAAATCCTTCGCGATAAATTGCTCACCGTACTGCTGACTGGCCTGCTTGAACTGAATCCCGGTCTGCGCCTCCGCGGTTTGCTTCGGGGACAAAACCAACTGCCCCACGTCGCCCTGCTGCCACGTGAAAACGGCGCGGTTTTTCTTCGCCAACTGCTTCGTGTTGATCTGGAGGTTTCGGTTCCCGTAGAGTTCGTTCTCAATCTCGATAGAGTATGCACTGCAAAAGTATCGCACTCTTATAAATGCATCACAAATTTCCTCAGCATGAGAAATAAAATTTGTAGTGCTGATTTACCTGGAGAGAAAGATTTGTAATGCATGATTGCAATACGAGTACGATACTTTTGCACAGGATATAGAGTCGATTTGGCTGAACGTAACAGGTTCCTTCGTCATCGCGTCTTGCAGCATCATATGGACTGCAAATATGTCTGGGTCTGGAAACTTGTAATGCTAAAAGTGAATGATAGAAGCACTGCAGTACGCAGCTATGCATGACAAACCCTTTGGCTGCCACGTCTTACGTATTCCGCATGGCAAACTGCGTTTTTGCATGACAGGTTCGAGGGCCTTTTCGTGCCTATGCAACACAGATTCTGGAGTCATGCCAGACAAGCATGACAAACTTGCATTCTTCCAGACCCAGACATTTTTGCATTTGATACATCAGCGTGATCGGCGACTGGCAGCGGTTCAGATCGATCTTGTACTTTACCTTCGTGTCCTTCGAGACCCAGCTGTACTTGTTTTTGCTAGTAGAAGCGGCCCCCTGCTGTCCTGCCGAGCCTCCGCCAACATGACTCTGATCCGAAACATTTTCTCCGCTGTCACTGCACGTAAACACCTCCCAAGCTTCGTCCGCCCCCTCGCAGCGGAGCTGGCAGATGCCCCCGACGGAGGCGTATGGATAGCACGCATGTCTGGGTCTGCAAGATTGCGAGATTTGTCATGCAATTTTTCCAAGCTCAACAAAATCTGGAATGCAGGGCTTAGCATCACAGGTTCTGCCTCCTATTGGTGAAAAATGGTGATACCTAGTCTGCATGACAAATCGCTTCTCGGCAACATGGTCAGAAGTGGGGATCTTGTGCAAGACATGCAACACAGATTTTTGTGTGGGCGGCTGCAACATGCATCACAAATTCGCTCTTTTATTCCAGACCCAGACATATTTGTAGTGGATACGTCGCTGCAGGTGTTGTCTTTCGTGTCGAGGATTTCGTAACCGACTTTTTTCAACTGCTCCAAGGACTCCGGGCACCGCTGGGCGGAGCACTGGTAATTCTTCAAATCAAACTTCTCGTTCGTGGTGGAGAGGACATATTGCCCGATGGGACTCGACGTGCTTTGCACTCGTTTATGCTGGTCTTTCTTCGATTTGCTTGTTGATTCCGTCGGTTCGATGCATTTCACCTCGACAAAATGCTGGTTATTCGGCAAAACCATGTTATCCGGACAGTGATAGTACCTCGTCTCCGCCAGTGCCGCGTCAATGGAGGGGCGGAAGGAGCCGTAAATCTTCCTGTCCCCGCCGGCCCCCGCGACGATCTGATTTCCTTGTTCCTCGTCTCCAAACAGCCGACGTCTCAACCGCAAGCCTCGAGGTTCCTGTACAGCGGCCTGGCGCTGGTTTTGCTTTTGAAGACCAGGCGCTACATCAGGTTGATCGCCCAAACCTGTCAATCTCCTCCCCTGCAAGGGTAAATCTGGGACCGACCGCTCGTTGCAAAAAGACTTGGACAGCTTACACGCACAAGGCTCTAAACTCGTTCCCGCCGTGTCCGCCTGCTGCAACACGGCGGTTGTATCGACGGTTTTTCCCCCACTGCCGAAGCCGCCGAAGAAATTCCACGGCCTGTTCCGTTCCTCCTCTTCCTCTTCGAATTCTCCGCCGAATTTGTCGTTGTTTTTCTCATTTGTCGTCGCCGGCAAGTACACGAATTCCCCATTCGCCGCACACATGCAGGGCTTCCCCGCGAAACCCAGATCGCATTTCGGGAAGACGCGCTCGCCGAAAATGTGCGTGTCGAGAATCTCCCCGTTCGTGATCTTTCCCGCTTGGCAACTCTTCGGCTCGCAGTAGAAGTCGGGATCGAGTGCGGAGGAGAGAAAATCTTCCGTCGGCTTTTCAATGTGCTGGCTGCAGCGAAGCTCGACGGTGTTAGTGTCTCTGTTCAGTGTGGCTTGGAGTTTATTCTTATTGTTGTCGGTTTTTGAGTTTTTTTCTCCTGTCGTGGTCGCTGGAAAAATCTGTTCAATCAAACTCTCCAAGTCCTTCTTCAAAGAAAACCCAACCGGGCACTGGATTTTCTCAACACTCCCCTTCGGAAACTTCTTCGTCCCCGTTTCCTCCTTCGTCGGCCCGAATCCGCTGTAAGTAACGACATTCGCCCCACAACTCGCCGGTAAGCAAAGTTTGAAATCGGACAATGCGATCGGCGGGATGCTGGGGAAAGCGGTGACTCTTACCCGCCATTCGCCGACTTGATCCGATTTCGGCTTGCACTGCAGAATGTAAGGGGCCGGTGGAGCTGGCAGGGCACTATTACTTTCGTCGATAGAAGTCGTCAAACCAGTTGTACTTCTACCACCCAGCGGCCCGCTCAACTCCGCCCGGATCGGTGCCTCATTCGGATTCAGCCGGAACCCGATATCTTCGTCGTTTTTGCAGAAGTTTTCCCCGAGCTGCTTTTTCAAGTCGAAGATCTCAATTTCCTTCGTAACCGGCCCGCCGAACGGCGCCAACTGCGGGTCCTTTGGACAGTAGCTGACGATCGGCTTGCAAGGGTTCCGGTTTTCAAAAATCGGCTTGTTCCCTCGCATGGACTTCTCCGCTAATTGCCACTGACCGGTAATAACATCGGTAGTACCCGAAGATGCTGCATTTGATGATGAAATTACGTTGCTTATGCTTGATACGCATTTCAACAAAAATTGCCTTTTCATATTACATTCCGCACAACCATACCCGACGGCGCAACTCACCTTCTTCTCCTCGTTGATCTGGCTGTTTTGCAACGGTGTGAGCAACGTCTTCTCGCCCGTCGTTGGATCCACAATCTTCGACAAATCGGGGCAGTAATTCTTCTTGGGCACGCACGCTTTTTTCAGGTCGGTGCCGAAATATTCTCCGAGGTTTTGGGGATCCTTGGCGGACGGTGCGCAGCGGACCTGGTGCTCTTTTGGCTTCGCAGTGATAATCACGGGAGATGAAACTTCTGCGTCGTCCTCCTCCTGTCCGATCTGGCTGTTGATATTTGGAACACCAGTGTCTTCCACTTGTTCCATCGATCCAGGTACAATTTTCACCGCGGCAAAGGGTTCGTAGCCATCGGCGCAAACCACAGATTTTACTTCGTTGATCAGCCCGGGCTCGATACTGAAGGACTGCTCTTGGACTGCTTTACAGTAGTCTTCCTTCTTCTCGCACAGAAGATCGTCCTCGTATCCTATCCAAAAACGTCCCCATTTCATACGTTGTCATGCAAATCAGCATGCGTAAAATTTTTCTCATGCGGGGCCCCATGAGAAGCATTTTCTAGAACGTTTTTGCGCAGGGGACGTTTTCGCTCAGGATACCTCGCGATCTTCGCCCGGTGTGCTGCCTGGGGTCGCATCGGTCAACACGACTGCGGCTTGTGGTCCCATACTGTCTGTACTGCTCGGATTATTTTGGTGCGCTTGAACGCCTTCGAAATACATCATTTTCACCCCGGGCGGCAGACGGTCATCCCGGATTTTTTCATCGTCAATGGTCACTGCAGTTGCACCACCAGCTCTCTGTCCGTTATGCATTGCAAAAATATCGTAGTAGTTCTTGTAGATAAAATTGCAATACAAATTTTCCAAGAGAAAAAATGCAATTTGGAATGCGGATCTGGCTAAGACATGAGATTTGTTATGCATGGTTACAATTTACTAGTGCGACTACCAAATTACGTTTGCACTGCATATCCGTTCGCCGTTGTCCCCCCGAATCCAAACAGGTCAAAATCGCCAAAAATATTGTTCATTATCGCGAGAAAAAAGTGTTACAGTTACACATTGGGTTGCAGGCCAAGCAAGACAGACAAGCTCTGTCATGCAGGATATGCATAGGAGCCTCGTTTCATAGGTGTTTTCCCGTAGAAATTCTGCATTACAAGTTTTCTCTCTCATGCAGAGAAATTTGTGTTGCTGAATTCACGTACAAATGTGTAACTGTAACACTTTGTTCGTGGGATATTCATCCCTCGCGTAGTACCAGCCATAGACGTGCTTTGTTGATACTTACTCGGATCCACAATTTTCAAATACCCCCACTTCCGCTTTTCCATGCACCTCAATTTGCTGTTTTGGAACAAAAAGCTCGTCGTAAACCCCGGTTGACAGGTGATTTGCGCGGTGGCTGCGATTTTTGAGCTGCTGATCGTGTTTTTCTCGACATCGAGAACTTCCGGACACCAATCTTGAATCGCCTCGCAATTGTATTGATCCTGTTTCGCTTTTTTCTGTTTGCTCGTCAACTCGAGTGAATTCGACACCAGCCATTTCCCCTGCGCATACCTGTCTTCGGTGCAGACAAGGTAGTCCTCCTCCGGGTTCGCGGGCTCGTACCCGATCGCGCAGAGTTCTTTTATAGGAAATCTGGAATTCAACAACCTCGGGAATTCCATTTCCTTCGGCAACCCTTTTCTCCTTGGGACAACTGGGACGTGCTTTATCAAATGTAAAAGTGTAGTCTGGGTCTGGAAGAATTCATGTTTGTCATGCGTGTCTGGCATGACTCTTAAATCTGTCATGCACATTACCCAAGAGCTCCGTTTTTCTGTGATGCAGAAGCGCAGTTTGTCATGCAGACTAGGCAACACCTAGGACCTCAGAAACTTGTCATGCTGAGCCAGCATTTGTAGCCTCATCATGAGACGCCACCCAGCAGCACAAGTTTCCAGACCCAGACATTTTTACATTTCATATGCTTGAAATCCGGACAGTAGGTCTTGGACGCGAAGCATTTCAGTTTACTTCCATCCAAGATCGATCCGTCACTAATGTGCTTCCTCTCACTGTGCACCCCGGTCACGCGGTACTGCCCACGGTTCGAGATGTCATCATCGTCGTCTTGTGTTTGCGATGAGGTGGGAGAAGGTGAGGAAGCCCCCTTCGCTTGCTCGGAGCACGTTAATTTCACCTCCCAATCGAGCACCGATTCCTCCAGATACCCCTTCGCGCAGATCGTCACAGACGCGGACTGTTCAAACTGAAGCGCCGGCAGTTTCTCACACGTTAAGTGTTTATCTGTTTCCTCGCTGGAGAAGCAAAAATTCTCCGCTTTCTCGCACTTCCCGTAAATCTCCCACTTCCCAATTTTCTGTTTGTCCGCAAGACAGACTGCCGCTTTCTTGTGCAGGGATAAGCTCTGCCCCCGCCAGATACTGCCGCGGGACTCTTTGAGTTTCGTGTACGCGGGGTTGAGGCATTGGACATCAGAAGCGAAGAGATCATCGGAGATCGAGCCGTATCAAATGCAAAAATGTCTGGGTCTGGAACATTCTGACACTTGTCATGCACGTTTTGCATGAGCCCTGATGTCTGTGATGCATGCCCTAGCATCACAGATTTTTTCAGAGCTTCTGGATGCCTATTCCGCATGAAAAATGCCCTCTCCGCGTAGCAAAAATTACATTCCTTTTGGTACTCATGCAATACAGATTTTTCTTGAATCCAAATGCAGCATGACAAGTTGCATTCTTCCAGACCCAGACATTTTTACATTTGATAAGCCGGACTTGAGAATTTTCATTGGTCGTTTGTTCTCGTCATGCAGCTCTACGTTTTTCGGACAATAGTCCGGAACGGGGACGCAGTGCTTCACGTTGGTCCAAAAACCTTCTTCGTCGTTGAAAGTTGATGGGTTGGCGAATGTAGTTCCAGGTGAAGATGCGGTTCCGCCAGGAATAAGTTGTGCGCCTGCTGACTCGCCACCACCTGGGAGCGCGCAGGTGATTGTGTGTTCGAAAATGAAGTCTTCTGTTGAACCGGCATCAGCTTCTGCACTGCCGATTTTCGAAACAGCAAATGGAAACATGTACCCGGCCTCGCAGGAAATTTTCGCCTCTTCCCCCAGGGCGCCGGACTGCACGTCCGTCACCCAGTGATTTTCCTCGTTATTGTACAGTGGGGGGCAGTAATTCTTGATCTTCACACATGTCGCCCTTTCCGGCTGGTATTTCCCCTGTTTCAACCCATCAGTCACACAGTTGTGCTTATTCGACTTCCCATTCGCGATTTCATACCCCGGGTTGCAGACGGCAATCGCTTGTTCCCCGAGCTTTTTCACTTTCATCTGTTGACCTTCCCCTTGCTTTATTCCACCTGTTTGCATGAACCCATTTTTCACCTGCAATTCGCCGCAGTAATTTTTCCTCAATTCGCAAACTTTTTTCGGATCCGGACTCCATTTCCCGCCTTTGGTGGAAGTGGAGAGCATTTGACAGGTGATATCTAGTTGCATGTCGACGTCCTCTGTTCTGGCGCCGGTCTCTACTCTCCCCGCCAGCAACTCCCCGGTGACAACATACCCGGCGCTGCACTTCACGACCGCTTTTCCGTCCTTCACGCCGGCGGGGATCGATTCTACCATAGACTTCAATGAAGACACCGCCGGACAGAAGTCCGCCGATTGGGTACAAAAAGGCAACGGATCCAACTTCCCGCTTTTCTCGTCCCCCTCTTTGCAAACTGGCATCTCCTCTATGCATTGCAAAAGTATCGTACTCGTATAAATGCATTACAGCATGAGAAGTAAAATTTGTGATGCGGATTTGCCTTAAGAGCAAGATTTGTAATGCATGTTTGCGATTACTACGAGTACGATACTTTTGCACAGGATATCCTCCCCCGGAAAGCTGTAGCCGGGGGCGCAGTAGTCCGCGCGGTTGATTTGCTTCAATTGCTCGTTGATAGGAAGAACGAGTAACTTGTTCTTTTCCAAAGTTTTTAGATTCCCGTTTTCCAGCGACTGCAACGCTTCTCCCGCTAAGCAATAGTTCGCGATTCTACTGCAGGAAAACGTTTCTAATCTCTCCCACACCGCTTGAGAATTGCAGACCGCGGTCGTTTATCGAATGCAAAAATATCTGGGTCTGGAAGATGGCCAGGTTTGTCCTGCATATTTTGCATGACCCATGATGCCTCTAATGCATGACCTAGCATCGCAGATTTTTAGGGGGCTTCCCGATGCCTATTCCGCATGAGAAATGCCCTCTCCATGTCGCACAAGCTGGACCCCTCACCTTGCTGGTCAAGGTCATGCAATACAGATACAGATTTTTTCAGAATGCAGAAATAGCGTCACAAGTTCCAACCTTCCAGACCCAGACATATTTGCAATGCATATCGTTTCCACGCCGCCGATCGAAGCGACCTCGTAGCCGTTGTCGCACTTCAGCGTTGCGACGGATATAACCCGCTCAGGTGTTACAATCTCAAACGTTACATATAGAATATCGAAATCTGTGATGCAAGATTGCATGATCCAACCGACTCTCATAGGATTGCGCATGACAAGTTCTGGAGTCCCAATCCGCACTACAATCTGGCGAAATTTGTATTGCAGAAAGTGGAATGCTGTCCGAGTCTGTCATGTTCATCATGCAAGACAAATCCCAGATTCTATTGTAACGTTTGAGATTGTAACACCTGAGCGGGTTATAACGGAATGCAGCTTTTTCTCATCGGTTAAGGAAAGAACTTGCCCGTTCGGGATTGGTTTCAATTCGGGGCAAAAATCAGGGTTTTTCTCGCATTTCAACGTGCTGATTTCTGGAAACCAAGACCCAGAATGCCGGATTTTTGATTCGTACGGCATGGACGGACCGCCGCAGATCAGTTGTTTTTTGTCTGAGAGAGCCACTGTTTTTGACTTGTTCCTGATTCCCCAAGACCCACGCTTCTTGTTCCTTTGCGAAGAGTCGCTAGTCAGAGCATCGTCACTCGTACTCGCAAACACGTAGCCGGGTTTGCAGCTCAGGGTGGTTTCTTGTTGGTATTTCCCGCTCGGAACGGTGGCTTCCACGATGAAGCTTTCTTCTTGTGAAACAGTACTATCAGCTGTGGCCGCAGCGACATCTACCGCGGGGCAGAAGTTCAAGTTTTCTTCCGCGCAAATCGAGCTTGTGTCGCCTGTTTCTAATTTTGAACAGGCGTCTTGTTGATCTGTTTCTGCAGACGACCCATGATTGCTATTCGGGTTCTCAACCAACACTCCCTTGCTATTGTCAGCCGACGCGGAACAGGAGCACTGTTTCGTGAAGGAATTCTCAGAATTCTGGTACCCGCTGAGACACTCTAATTCCAACGTTTCCATGAATTTCAAATGTTCCTTCGAGTTGGGGTCTGGCGACACCTGGATGAAGTTCCTACTTACTCCTTTCGCTGCCCGTAGATGTTCCAAGGCCGTGCACTGGTGCGGTTGGCAGTTCACCTGTTCCAACCCGGAGAAGCTACCGTCTTCCTGGCACTGAAAGTTGATTTTCTTGTTTGCATCCACCGAATTAGGTCGATAAGATCCGAAACCATGGAGGCAGATCTTGTTGTTTTCCATTTCGATAACTTCGCCCAACTTTGCTCCTTTGAGGGAAAACGCAATTCGATCGTTGTACCCAGAAAAGTCCCCGACAGACAACACTTTGATTTGGATCTGCTCGGTGGACATGGGTTTGCAGTAGTTTGAAATCGGCCGGCAGAGCTGGGTGTCGGCAGTGAGTTTTAGCGGCTTGCTCGAGGAGCTTGCTGTTTTTAAAACGTATTGCGTCTCCCTCTCATTGCACTCTACCGTTGTTTCAAAAGATAACACGGCAGAATTAAGTCCAGGTCCTGTGGCAAGTGTCCTCTCATCTCCAGCGGTTGCTGCAGTTGTTCCACCACCTGAAGTCGTCGCTGTTTGCAGCACTGGAACCAGTTCCAACCCTGTTTTGCACTTCAATTGGTAAACCGAATCCGTAAAATATTCCCGCTCCGCCCACTCTTCTGGCAACGACCGCCCGCGCCAACTTTGCTGCTTTATCACCGCGGTTGTGTCCAGCTGACTTGCGATTTGCTTCGTGGCGCTGACGAACCCTCGCAGATCTGGGCAGTAGTCGGAAACCGGTACGCACTTCAAATCCTTCTCGTTCATGCTTTTATCGTCAAACACCCACTCACCAACACTTGCGGTTTTCGCAACACAGGTGAGTTGCAGCTTGCTTTGTCCTTTCGCAACTTTCTTCAGCTGCAGCACTTGTTTCTTCGACATCTTCGCTTCGACAATCTCAAACGCGTACGGTTTCGCGCACTGCAACTCCGCTTTATCCCCTAGCACCCTTTTACTCGGAGCACCAGCCGCGTTTATCCCCTCGACCGCGTCGGACACTAAGATTGTTGCACTGTTAGGAACGACTCTTGGTGTCAAATCCTCGGTTTGCTGCATGGGCGGACAGTAGTTGATAAGTTTCACACAGTAGTCATTGCTTTTCGATTCGTCGAACCGTTCCAAGATGGTGCTGGCGGTAGAAGCTGGCTTTGAGAACGTTGTGGCTCCTCCAGGACTCGTGCTTGTTGGTGCTGTAGCAGCACTGTCCGCTTTTGTCACGAAGTAATCTAACTCCCCGTCCTGCGCTAAATCGTAGACGATGTTGAAGGCCTGACTCTGGTCCCACTTCGTCTTGTACCCCAAATCACAGCTGAACTCCCGCCTGTCGCCGTATTTCCAGGCTGGAAGCATATTCGCGAGCTTCTCCAAGCCGCTTGCACTTGCTCCAGGAAGCATTTCCATGGGAAGGTGGGGTAGAAAAGCATTCGGAAGTCTGATCTTCGCGTTCGGAATCGACGGCTGCTTGCTCGACTGCTTCCTAGTGCAAACAACGGTCGATCTGGCGAATTCGATGGCAGATGAACTTGCGCCAGCAGTTGCAACTCCAGTGACCGTCCAAGCGCCCTCTTGTTCATCCTTCTCCTCGCACTTCAACTTATTCGCCATGCCCAATCCTGTATACTCGAACCCGGGGGAGCAGAGAGACGACAGCTGGCTTTCCGTGTAACTCGCGTGGAGAGATAATTTCGCAGTCTCCACGATTTTCGCGTTCAAGGCGTTGACCGGGTTTTCCATCCCACTTGGGTAAATTACCAAAGCCGGGCAGTAGCGCTCTTTGGGGAAACAGTCGATTTTTTCGACGATCATGTCGTCATCTAACCTCTCCTTGTACACCCCCTGTACTGCATCCCCCGCAGCGCAAATCAACTCCGCATGCAAAACCTCGTACCCCGGGTCGCAAATCAGTTGCTTCGTGAACGAGCTCATCATCAGTGCCGACGTTTCAGAATGAAGATGTTGCCCACGAGGACCAACGCCAGCAGCGGAAACGTCAATCTCTTTCGCCGCGATAATCTCCTCGTAGAGCTGCTTGCCGGGTAGGAATCTCTTGTCCTTGTCCGGATGTTGTCCACCGGCAGATTCGTGGTAAACGACCTCCAACTCTGGGCAGTAGCTGTCAATTTTTTCGCAGAAACTATTCGCCTTGTCAAAAACGCCGAAGTTTGCGTCGCTGGCGATGCAGGTCCGGGTGATTTTGTTCGTGCTTGTTTTGCTTGTTCTCTGCGATCCTGCACTACCGGAAGGCGAAGAAGGAGCAGGTGCAGCTGCTCCACTATTCATCACAAACCCGCTATCGCACGTAACGACCACCTCTGTGCCTAGAACCGTGGTTCCCCAAAAATCTGCAGTTACAGGTCCGGCACTAGAAGTAGTTCCCGAAGGTAGTTCTTGCGCTTCTGGTGAAAAAATCTATGCATTGCAAAAGTATCGCACTCACAAATTTCCTTAGCATGATGAGAAATAAAATTTGTATTGCTGATTTACCTCAAGAACAAGATTTGTAGTGCATGATTGCAATACGAGTACGATACTTTTGCAATGCATAAAATCTTCGCGTTCACCATTTCGAACTGCCTACAGTACCCCTTTTTCTTCTTGCTGCAGAAGAAATTCCGCGCTTTTTCCACGACTTCATCTGCAACGTAGGCAAAGACGTTCTCATCGGATTTAGAAGAACCCGAACTACCAGGAATTTTCCGCGTGTCCGTGCAGGGGAGAGAAAATTGGTTATGCTTCTCCGCTCTCAACATCGTCTGTTGGTCGTCCAGAGAAGTTATTTTTGTTTGTCCCCCCGTCGAGGAAGTTGCAGTACTGTCGTGCGTGTAGCCAAAGTTGCACTCGAAATGAAACCAGCCGCCGTGCATGGTCGGGAGACTTCTGATTGGTTTCGCGTTTTTCATCTCCAATTTCTGATCGGCTTTGCAGGTGATTTGCTCGCAGAAGACGTGCGGCGACCAAGAGCCGCGGAGTTGGTGGATTTTCAGCTTGTCATAGGGTTTAAACAGCAATAACTTCGACATATCCCCGTTCGAGTTGATGATCGCGTTTTCGTACTGTTTTTTCAAAGCGTCGGAGTATTGGATTCGATCGTTTTTCTTCACGATCAATTTCTTCCTCGTTTTCGGGTGTTGCATCTGGTACTGGGCGTTGAAATACACCAGCGGGTAGGGGGCAGTTTTTTTCTGGATTTGTGTCGGAAAGACGAAGTCCCGCAAACTGATAGTGTCAGTTTGGGCGACGTTGATGTTCTCAACGCCGTCGGAACTAGAAGCTGGTGCTGATGTTGTTTCTGCCAAAACATCTGGAATCTCCCACGTCGCCACCGGGTCTTCCGGTGATAAAGCGCAGTGAAACTCTCTCGCCTTCTCGAGCGATTTGTCGCTCCACATGTAGCCCTCGTTGGGACATTTCAGCTTCAGCGTCTTCCCCATGGGCAATGTGGTGACAGCATCAGGAGAAGGAGATGCTGCAGCGTCCTCGCTCGCGAGAGATCTTCTACTTCTTGGGGTAGTCGACGCGGTAGGTCGTGTTTCGTCCCCATCAGTTACAACAAGCGCGTGGTCTACTCCTGACTGCTCCACACCACCATGATCGTCCTCCCCATCTTCCCCAACAATCAGCAGCTTCGCGTTTTTCTCCGTCGCCAGCCCAGCTAAGGAACAGAAATCCTGCACAAGTTGACATATCAAATGCAAAAATGTCTGGGTCTGGAAACATGTAGACTTCTGATGCGTATTTGAGACCAGAAAAAAATCTGTCAAGCATGGACCGCAAAAGTTGCTCATTTCTTGCCACCAAAAGAGGGAGCTTGTCATGCGGGTTAAGCATTGCCTAACCCGCTCAAAGTCAAAACCTGTGTTGCTAGGGCTTGCATGCTAGACCTTCTGTGTCATGCGCAAACAGCATCACACTTTTCCAGACCCAGACATATTTGCATTTGATATGACATTCCCCAGACCAAAACGGTTTCTTCCGGGACTCCGGCGGCCTGAGCATCACCGGCTCGTACCCAATATCGCAAAAACAGGAGTACTCGTCAATCTCGTGCGCTGCGCAAACCCCCTTCCCCACCATCTTTCCGTCGCAGGGGAAGGCGTTGGCGATTTTGTTATTTTTGCTGTCCTTGATACACCCCTTTACCATCTTCCCGAGATTCCCGGCATCCGGGACGTCGCAGGGCGGGATTTCGAGGGAGTCGTCATCCTCTTGGTTTTGATAATTTGTTGACAACATTTCGTTTCCCGTACCGCCGGCAGAAGCTCGGCTCACGACGTTTGCGTAGAGGTAAAATCTCTCCCGCACCCGTTTCTTCAGCGACTGGGCGTTGAGGGGGAGGAGTTTACTGTTGTTTTCGGCATCGTGTATGGATTGTTGTGCCGAATCAACATCGCATCCTTCAGAATTGTCGTCGTCGTCATCCCCAGTTGTACTATCGTCTTTCACCTCATTACAAGTCGAGCTGTACAAACTCATTTCCGCTCCGGCGTATTCCACCGCTCTCAAAAAAAACACCCCCAAAGAATCGTCCATGTCGTTCTGATACACGTTGCAAAATTTCCGGAAGACCGACTCCCCAAGCGGGTATTGCAGATCACCGCCGCCCGAGGTGGACACCAGTATCGGCGTGGACCCGTGCGTATGCAATGCCAAAGCATCTTACTAGTAAAACTTGCATTACAAATACAAATTACTAGCACAGCATTACAAATTGAACTTGTAATGCTGATTTACCTTGAAAAAGAGATTTGTAATGCATAAATGCAATTCCTACGAGTGCGATACTTTTGCAATGCATAGTGCGCGGACAAGTGGTGCTCCTGCGAATGGTAGTCGTAGCCCCTGTATGCATTGCAAACATCACTGGGTCTGGATCACTTCAACTTGTCATGCTGAGTCTGGAATCGTGCAAAACTCTGTGTTGCATGATTACCAGAAGCTATGCACTCTTGCGCAAGTAGTTGCGAGGCAGTTTGTCATGCAGGAGAGGCATGACAGAGATCATCGCACAGAATCTCTCATGCTAGGCCATGTAGAGCAGACCTCATAGGTCATGGAAAACCTGCATTACAAGTTTAGCAATCATCCAGACCCAGACATATTTGCATTCGATACCGTTTTCGGAAAGGGAAAGGAGATTTTCAACACCAAGCGATCTTCGTGGAAATTATCCTGTGCAAAAGTATCGCACTCGTAGTAAAAATCCTAATCGCAGTCATGCATTACAAATTTCCATCCCAAGGCAAAACAACATGACAAATTCCATGTGTCATGCTGGCCGAATTTGTAATGCGATTTCTACTAGTACTATGCTTTTGCAATGCATAGAAATACGGGCTGCGCAGGGCGGTCGGGGGCGTGTGGTGCTCGTGCTTGGGGTATCAAGTGTAAAAATGTCTGGGTCTGGACGATTGGAACTTGTGATGCTAATTTTGGACTCCAGAAAAATCTGTATTGCATTACCAGCAAGAGGAGTCTAGTTTGTGCTACGCGGGGAGGGCGTTTGTGATGCGGAGTAGGCATCAGGAAGCCATCTCCAAGTCTGTGATGCGCGGTCGTGCATTAAAGAGATCATGGGTCATGCAAAACATGCATGACAAATCTCAGAATCTTGCAGACCCAGACATTTTTACATTTGATATCGGGATGAAGTGGAACTCGGCCGTGATGCTGTTCTTATGTTGGACTGCGGGAAGAGAGAGTTGCAGATGCTCGCTGTGGTCCTTCACGGCTTCGTACGCTTCGGAAAAGATGAATTTGAAGAAACCGAGAAGAAATTCCTTTCGCAATTTGTCCAACTTCGTACAGATGCGGGCTTGGAGGGGCTGGAGATGTTGACGAAGCTCTTCGCTACGAAAAACGGGCTCTCCCTGCTCGGAAGTAGTAGTAATTTTCTGCACCACCGCCGGACATTTTTTCACCAACCGTGTGAAAACCGTATCGACGGACTCTTGTCCTTCGCGTTGCAGCGAGGAAGAAGAAGATTTAATATTTTTCCGTGTCAAAATTATCTTCTTCAAATCGTCTTTCACATCTTGAAGGAGAAAATTCCCGAGAATTTCCAAGTGGATCTGATACGTGAAATAATCCAACTCCGGGTCCAGGGGGTGTTTTCTCGTCGTCTCTTTATTTTGTCTGACCCACTTATCGAACTCCGTTGTGATTTCTTTTTCTTTCGAGATTTTTGGTTTTCCTGGCCCCCCTGTGGGGCTAGAAGGTGGTGCCACCTGTGGAGGACGCTGCGCTGCTGTGTCGTGCTGGTCGACGTCTTCCGGCATTGAAAACCCTCCTGCTGCACTGTTGTGTTCTACGTATTCAATACTGTCTTCTGCTAGCAATCGCACACGAGAACTGTCTGCGGGAGCAGCAGGAAATAAATCCTCGTCTGCTCCAACGAGTGACGTAGTTCCTGCTCCACCCATCCTCCCTTTTCTCCGTTCCGCGCTGCTTCTCTGTTTCCCGTACTTGTACTGCAAGATCTCCTCGTGCTCCAAGGTAACCGCGTTTTGCACGTTCCAAACGAGCAGGAAAAACATCCCGATCTATGGAAGCGTCAGGTTTGAAATCGTCAAAGTTGAAATAGTCTGTAATGCATAAAATGCATGACCCGAGGCACGTGTGTTGCAGAGCAGGCAAGTGAGGCCGATTGTAAGCCTGTTTGGGGTTACAGCTCGAGCTGCTAAAGTAGCATGAGAAAATCGCTCTTCTTTGCCTAAATAGCATGACAAACTGGATTTAGGGACCGCCGAAATTTCTTATGCGTCACTTGGAAACTGGGTTCCAACTGGCATCCATTTTATGCATGACAAATTATTTCAACTTTGTCGGTTTCAACTCTGACACATCCATACGATCGTCCCACACAGTAATCCCAGAACCAGCATGTCCGTGTACTTCTTCGGGTATGAAAGCCTCAGAATGGAAATTCTCAAAGTGGAAATAACTTGTGATGCATGAAATGCGACACCAAAGCGACTGTATTGCAGAGGACGCAATGGAGGCCGACTATTGTGCTCCTATGGGTTCAGAATTGGGCTGCTAATTAGCACGAGAGAAGGGCACACCCTTGCCCTAACTAGCATGACAGACAGGTTTCGAGTGCCCAGGAAATTTGTCATGCGCCGATTAGAAATGGCGCTCTAGCTGGAATCGTTTTTTTGCATTACAAATCATTTCCACTTTGAGGATTTCCATTCTGAGGCTGTCATATCGGGATGTATTTCTTCGACTTCACCCCCTCGGTAATTTCTTCCGACATAATCTCCTCATCCTCATTCAGTTTTGATTTATCCAGTGAGCTCTGATCCACCTCCTCAAACTTATACTCGATTTTGAAATCGCTATCCGCATTCAATTATGCATTGCAAAAGCATCGTACTAGTATACACAAAGTGCATTACCAATTGACTTAGCATTACAAATTGAATTTGTAATGCGGATTTGCCTTGAGAAAAAGATTTGCAATGCATAAACGCAACTAGTACGAGTTGTACGATACTTTTGCACTGCATATCAGCTGCTCATCGTCCGCGAAATCGTCCTCGTTTGCCATCCCGGGTATCCCGCACAGCATCTCGTGTATCGTGAAGAAAAAGTGTTACTGTTACACACTCTGATGGGAGACAAGCAAGACAGACAACCTCTGTCATGCTGGAAATGCTTGCCGACCTCATTTCATTCGTGTTTTCTCTTATAGTCTGCGCATTACAGGTTGTCTTTGCCATGTCGAAAACTTTGTGATGCAGAAACTCCAACAAATGTGAAACTGTAACACTTTTTCCTTGCGATATCGTGCATGAAATCCTGCGACGTCCTACCGGTTTGCAGCCAAGAAGACCGGTCTTGGAACATTTCCTCCTGGAAAAGCGTGTAGCCGACGATGGAAGCGGAAGATTTGAATTTTTTGGAACTCGACCCTGTCAGGGAGAGGTTGGAATTGGAACTGGAG